AAGCACCCGTCGAGGAGGCACCTATTGCAGAGATACCCGCTGATGATCCAGATTCACTAGCGCTCGATATTTCCCAACTCCAACTCGATCCTTCCTCTGATATTGGAGTCGATATCGACACTGACCTCAGTTTCGCGACACCAAGCGAGGCTGACTTCCCGGAAGACTCCTCCATGCGCCACATCAAAGGCACCCATGGAATCCGCAAGGCTGTCCGACAACGCCGAGTGCTCAGGCAGACTCCTGCTGCGCTCGCACCTGCAACAATAACGACATCCTCTGCCACGATCCCTACAACCACACCGGTCTCTGACGGCACTCCAGACTCTTCTGGGTTCGTTACTGTCACCTCTTCCAAATCTCGAGGATGAAAGGGCAGGACCAAGAAGAAGGAATCGTCCACGACGCCCACAGGCACTCTTGGATCTATCTGCAACCTCATGTCACCACCTGGTTACAGACAGGACCTGCTCTCATCCAGCTCATCCGAATCCAGGAGCTCCGACAGTTCCTACCGCCCCTCCGATGTATCCCAACAGTATCGCACTGGAGATGCATCCAACTCCTTCGCTGCTCTTCAAGACTCCGATGACGAGCAGGATTTTCATCAGGCCGGAACACACTAAGCCAACGTGGTCCACAGGCCTCTTCACAAACGGCTATTGCCATACCTTTCGGGGTACACTGTCACGCCACTCCTTCGGCGGTACCTCCCGATGCAGATGACAACACTCGTTCCCTATATCGATACGCAGTTCAGACTACTGTGATTCGACATAAGAACGATCGCGGTTCCCTTGTTGATAGGGGAGCCAACGGCGGGATCCTTGGTAAGGATGCTCGCGTCATGGTTACACACCAACGACAGGTTGATGTCACTGGCATTGACAACCATGAGATGAACGGTCTGAAGATCGTTGATGGCGTTGGTAAAGTCACCTCACACCGAGGTCCCATCATAGTTGTGCTCCGCCAATATGCCTACCATGGTATCAACCGTACCATCCATGCATCTGGTCAGATCGAGCACTACAAGAACCGAGTAGATGATCGATCCCTCCTATGTGGTGGCAGACAATGCATCCACACCAACGATGGCTTCATCATTCCTCTGGATATTGTCAATGGACTTCCGTACATGCGAATGTGCCCTCCTTCTGACAATGAACTTGCAACACTCACCCATGTCATTCTGACATCTGGCGAGTTATGGGATCCCAAGGTTCTCGACTTCAGACACAGTGAACACGACGACTGGTACAATCGTATCAAACTCGAAGATGATGCACCGCCCAACTATGCTTTCGATTCACAAGGGCATTACAAACACCGTGAACCGCATCATGCACCCACCGTTGAAGCAATCACTCCACTAGACGAGAATCCACTGAACATCAACCATGCTACCTTTCTCGAAGCCTACAAGATTGTCTCCAACCTCAACCAACCGTGCATCCTTGCAGAATCCGTCTATTCTGCCTTTGATACTGATACCGTCCCGTCTAAAGACCACATCATTATCCCAGCCACCGAGTCCACTCCTAAACCACCAGACTACCGAAAGTACAGCCCATTCTTTCTCCACGTTCCCGTTGAAAAGATTCGCCGTACATTTGAGCGGACTACCCAACATGCGTCCAATATCCAAGCTGGACATCACATCAAGCAAACCATTAAGTCACCTTTCCCGGCTCATAATGTATGGCGACGCAATGAACCAGTTGCTACGGATACTGTCTTTGCGGACACACCCGCCATTTGCACCGGAGGTCAAATGATGGCACAAATCTTCATTGGGCGTAAATCGCTTGTCATCGATGTATTCGGTATGTCTTCCACTGCGGATTTTGTCAACACCCTTGAGGATGTCATACGAACAAGGGGAGCAATGGACAAGCTCATCTCGGATGGACACTCAGCACAGACTTCCCGCGCGAGTAAAAGAGATACTTCGTGCGCTATGCATTGACGATTGGCAATCTGAACCCCACTACCAGCATCAAAACTTCGCGGAACACAGATGGAAGCATCTTAAACGCAACCACAACTGGTTCATGAACTGGCGAAACGTTGATCCCGAAGCCTGGCTACTGTGCATGCAATGGATAGGTGATGTTATGAACCATACAGCAGAGAAATCGACTGGATGGAGACCACCACTTGAAGTTCTCACTGGACAAACCGTGGACATCAGCATTCTGCTCGTATTCCTATTCTGGGATGTTGTTTATGTTCCACGATACAAAGACCAAGGGTACAATGCCCAACCCGGACACAACAAGTCTTCAGAGATTCGTGGACGCTTCGTTGGGTTTGCCTGGAACGTTGGACATCAACTCACCTTCAAGATCCTCACCGATGATACCAAACAGATCATATGTCGGTCCAGAGTCAGACTCGCAAAGGAAGGGATCAACAACCTTAAACTTGATGTCGAATCAGGAGCAATTCCAGAACGCATATACGTCAGGTCTAAAAGAGACGAAGAAGGCGATGATGCTAGACTGCCCACTATCGACATGAACCAGAGCCCTTTTGACCTTCCAGACGATGACGAAGAAGGGGAGATAGGGGAGACCATTCCAGAAGAGCCTACTCCAATGGACGAACCGCCTCTCAGGGAGATGCCCAGGTAGAAACGGTCAATGACGATGATGACAACATCGCGAACCATCAGAAGGACGAGCCTGAGAAAGGATCATCTAGTGCGGAGGAGCCATTCATCTTCAACAAACGGCATATGAAGACTGACAATCCCACCGAATCAGGACTACCTCCTGAACAGATGTTAGAAAGAACCTTTCTCATGCCACCCGCAGAAGATGGAACCAGAGTAAGAGCCAAGATCCTTGAAAGAGTCAAATACCACAAGGAGAAGGTTCAACAACATCCCGACATGATCAAGTTCAAATGCAGAGTCAACGACGAGTACGAGAGATCGTAGCCTACAACGATATCGTGGACTACATTGAACAAGACCAAACTTGGGATGGCACATGGAAGTTCCGCAAGATCTTGGATCACCAAGGTCCCATCAAATCATCTGACAAGGAACGATACAAGGGTTCACGGTACAACGTACAAGTTGAATGGGAAACCGGGGAGATAACTTGGGAGCCTCTTACCACCAAAGACAAGATGGGAGTACATGAGTCTGATCCAGTCACGGTCGCCATCTATGCTGAAGAGCACGGTCTACTAGACACAGTTGGATGGAAACTACCAGGACTCAAGAAGATCGCAAAGACTCAAAAGCGACTCGTACGAGCGGCTAACCAAGCAAAGCTTCACTCCTTCAGGACCAAGCCCGTGTTCATGTACGGATTCCAAGTTCCGCGCAACCATGATCAAGCCATGGAACTAGACGCGCGAAATGGAGATACCAAGTGGAGAGATGCCGAGATGATCGAGCTTAATCAGATTGATGAGTACGAGACCTTCATCAACAAAGGAAAGGGACATAACCCTGGACCAGATTGGAAGAAGATTCGAGTGCATATGGTGTACGCAGTCAAACACGATGGGCGACACAAAGCACGACTTGTCGCTGGAGGACATCTCACTGATACACCAGTAGACTCCGTCTATTCCAGTGTGGTTTCGTTACGAGGGATTCGTATCCTCACATAAAGGGGAATAATAGGGCCAACAAGGCCGGTGGTCGCATTAGGCGAAACCACTATAGGTAGTAATCAAATGATTAAAGAAAGGAAAAAAAGGGAAACCGAGTAAAAGTCGGATCCAAAGAACGAGTCTACCAATAACAAAGTATGGATAATAGACAAAGGGAAAAACCCAGGGACTCGGGCAAAGGGGGTGCCCGAGACAAAGAAAAAGCGAAGCACACCATTGCGGTGTGGTAGTTGGTTAGGAACCAACAGTAGATGGTGTTGGCCATAAGGCAACACCATGGCCATTTGCAGATCCATCAACAACCAAAGTGTGGTCTTTGGTTGCCTGGGTCTACCATCTGCCAGCTATGAGTTGAGCGGGTGATGTCAGATTCCAGACTGACCAGGCAACTGGGACTCATCCCCTTTGCTGGTTTGCCTGGAGTCTCACCTTCAAGAATTCCTCGGCCCCGAGGTTGAGCGGTGATGTCAGATTCGATTCGATTCGATTCCTGACTGGCCACGCAAGGGACTCATCTTCCTTGCTTGGCTGGCTTGGAGTCACGCCTGGACTTTTACTATTAGTCTACATACGGTAGCTTTTGGTACTCAATCGTACAATTGTACCAGTACCCGTACGACGAGTATGATAGTTAGTTTTGTGCAGAACCCTTGGAAGCCACTGGAACACTCCCGCCAAGACCCAAGACCCAAGAGTATTTATTTAGTACACCGCATGCATACTACTAGACTAGCTAGCACTGGTACTGTACCGTCCGGTACAAGTAGTCTAGCTAAGTGTCCACCTCGCAATTCCCCGCAGTGGTGAATTCTAGAGAGGGGACCGTCGCAGTATCGCGCGGTAACATCCTTGCAATGAATTAGACTATCTGGTCCTGTAATATCAACAACCATTTCTAGCCAGAAGCAGCAATGTCGACTACTAATAAGCAAGCAGTAGTAATAGTAGATGAAGCTGAGGTGCATGGCAATGAAGCTCCCTCTCGGCTAGAAGTCGCCGACAGTCTACAGGTTGACAGCTCGCAACAGGGGGAAGATGCGAGGATCGGACCAGATCCTGAGGAAATCGCTGACGATGGACCAGGCAAGCCCCTCACTCGAGCTGATCCCCCAAGCCTTTGGCTCTCTGAAGAAGAGAGGGATTGCGCACTGAGCATCAAGGATGCCATTGAAGGGCTTCCCGATCTCGATAATCTGACCGACTTTATGTACGCTCACATGGCTATTGCCGGAAAAGGCGATATTGACTGGGCTGTGGAGAGAGCCTACAAATTGCAAGCCGTCAAGGAGGAATACAAAATTCGAGGCACCTATGAAGAAGGTGTAAGGGCCATTAGGAATATCACAGAGCGATATCCGGAACATCTGATGGCTTACAATTTTGACCCTCACAGCGGTGAGGCTGAATTGATTATGGATCTTACGAAATGGGATAGGAGCGAATGGAGGAAACCAGAGGGTGTGGCAGATACAATAAGGGGATGTTACTATATTTGTCATGCCACATTTCCAAGTTTTCAGACTGTCCGAGTTGGAAATGTCCATATTTTTGAATGTGAAGGTAGGGGCAACTCCCTTTTATTGTTGCTGTCTAGCTAGCTAGCTGCTGTCACCAGTCACCAGTGATTTCCTAACTTTTTCTTCTTTTTGTCGATGATACTGCTACAGGCTATGGGTGGAAAATGGATATGTTGGACTTGAAAATGTTTGGCAAGATTTCCGAGGAAAGTCATGGCTCCTTTCCCTCGCACATTCGACAAACAAGGTTTTTCCACACGCCCTCCATGTTGAATATTGTGGTCTCCATGACCAAGAAACTTGTGCCCAATGAGCTATCGGATAGTTTCAAAGTAGGATGTCAATTTGCTGGAGGAAGACTGAACCAATTCTATATGCTTCCAACCCCCCAAGTCGCAACGGAGAGAGCTGTTGCCAACCTTAGTGAGGGTCTGAGGATTCGTTATGAATGTGAACAGCGATTCTCTCTGGACGACGACGACGACGACGACGAGTAAACACCGCAGGGGCGACGACAAGAATTGGTAGTGTTCTATTAATTAGCTAGGTTAAGAATGCATATTATAAAAAGCCGAACGTAATTTCATGTGGCAACGTGTTGCGCCCTCGAGAGAGTCACAGCCGGGCCCGATTTCTTCTGGTTCCGGGGCAGTACCATAGTGTCCGATTTCTGCTGGAGAGTTGCATACTAGTTAGTCTCAATATTGCACCAAGATGAGGCTTGCGGCCAGACCCCGGCAACTACTAGCATGGGCTCGCAGGAAATTCCAGTATACTCGTACGCTTCCAAGCAGCAAAACTCTTCATGTCCGGCCGGTTTCGTCGCCACAGAATCTCCCGATGGAACACCTCCTCAAAATTCCACGTCAAAGCGTCTACCGCATATCGGTGTCGTAGCTAGTTTGGTTGCAACAAAACTCCCAAAACCAACTCAACTTGTCTTGATCCAACGAATTTTTCGTCACGAGTCGAGTCTACGGGTTCAGAGCGATCCTACGGGGCGTCACCCTGAGTCTCATCGGTATGCCATGGCACGGGGTGCATTGTGATACACGAGCCATGCGGAGTGAGGAGGGAAAAGAAGTGCCACCGTTGATTGCAGATTCTTCGTGATCAGGATGATATCCAATTTCGACCATGAGAAGAACACACAAGTAGATTGCATTACTTGCTTGCTTGCTAGCTTTTGCTATTGATAGAACTGCATCAAATCTATTTCCAAAATGGGCGAGAACGTAGGAGCTACGCAATCCAGAATATTTTGCCGTTCCTGTTGATTGGGTTTCTTTGTCACCGTATCCACGGGTCCGGAACACCCTTCTTTCGGATACGACCCCAGCAAGGCAAACCCTCCTTGTTCCCGCATTTGTTTGTGAACGACTCCGGGTGGAATCAGCATCACATCTCCTTTGTGGATCGTCACCATGGTGCCTGTCACATCTCCACCCAGCAAAATATCGGCTTGTCCTTGGACGCACAAGAGCAGTTCCCAGGCCGTCGAATGGTAATGGTGATACGGGAAAATGCCCCATTTCCACGGTGACGTCCACGCTGCCTGTTGCAGGAGATGTCGTGCCTCTTGGTCGGACCCACGAAATGCATCCTTTGCCATCATGACGGGATGGTCGGGATTGTTGGGAAACGTCCCATCGTCTTGGAAAAATACTCGAAAGAGGCCGTGGGCGCCAAGGACAGGCTCCACTACTCCCCACTTTCGGGCTGATTTTGGACCGCGCGTCATTTTGTGTGCAGGGTCCTGATGATGATGGCCCCTCTTGCACCAACATGTCGCCGAGTACGCCAAAGCCTGTTGTTCTGGTAGAATCAGAAACGACAACGCTGCTGCAACCCAAGATGTAACAATCAACCAACCAGGCATTGGGACGCTTCATCGATGAAGGATGAAGGAGCGAAGGCTCTGTTGTGGATTGGAGTGGTTACTATGGCTTAGAGGGAACTATGGTGAGGAGAGGGTGCAAAGATCGGTTGTGCAATGCGAGACTTTAGGATCCGGTTGAGCTACGTATAAACACTCGGCCATGAAGCCACACATGTCAAAAGCCCACACGGCACCACTGCGCCAGAACAATCACAATGATCACGCTGACATGAAGCTCATCTTGAATTAAAAATTTGCACCGTCAACTCCATGGTACAGTACTGTAGGAACCCCGCCTCCAAGGAACGGTATCCACAGCGACTTTCGTGGATTCGCCGTTACCCATGCAGGAGCCAGCCGGTACACCTTCATATCATAGTACGAACCAAACTGTGAGCAGCAAAAGACACAATAGTGCAGCCGGAGTCGCGGACTTAGCGAATGCTCCTTTGTGCGGTATCATAATCGAAACTACGTACCGGTAGGACTGATTGAGTTTCAGGTTCCGGCCAACGCACCGACACGGCCAAAGGCATGATGCTACCGGTATTGGGCTGGCCGAGACAAAAAGACGGTGACACATCTGTCATTATACTTACTAGTAGGAAAGCAAGCATCACAAGTGAGCAGCGAGCGGTCTCTTGAGAAAACGTTGACAGGGCGACCAATGATTGAATTCGAAATGAATCAAGCAAACGAAGCCAAAGATTACGAACCACCAATGAACCGACCGAAACGATCGTGGCGTGGAAACTCAAAACGGTGCGAAAACAACTTCGCCCACATCGTTCAATCAATCTCGCACCGAAGATGCCCAACAGGCATGTGTTCGAAAGGTGGTCGGATCCCACAAATTGCACAAACCAAACTTGTGTACCTTGCAGTTCTTTCAAGAAGCGCTCCCAGTAATCTCTCTTCTCCTCTTTCCTTTGCCACCATGTCTTCTGCGCCTATCCTCAACAAAAAGAAGCTGAACCCTGCTATCCTCCCCCTTTTGGACCAGAAAGAAATCTGGACTGACCACATCCTCCCCTTTCTAGGCATGGGACAGTACGCTTATGTGGGAGCTGTCAACAAGGAGTTCAATGGTCTTTACAAGGAGTATTGTGATTCTGTCAAGAATCCTTTTATTGTCAAACTGGGTAGCAAGCAGCGTCCAGCAATCAGCACAGATACTTTATACTCTGTTGCATTCTACAATGTTCCATGCGCTCAATACTGGCACGTGGCTAATAAATCCAGCCAGACCCTCTCCTGTTTTCATCAGAATGATGTTTGCCCTACAATTGCCAAAGCTGGAAATCTCCCAGTTCTCCAATGGGCCCGCCAGAAATCATATCCATGGGATGAAAGCACATGCTCTGCAGCTGCTGAAGGGGGGCATTTGGAACTTTTGAAATGGGCTCGCAAAAATGGATGCCCATGGGATCCGGACACATGCAGCTCTGCTGCCCGCCTTGGCCATTTGGAACTTCTGAAATGGGCTCATGAGAATGGATGCCCATGGAATGAATGGACATGCTCGGCAGCTGCTGGAGGAGGGCATTTGGAACTTCTGAAATGGGCTCGTAAGAACGGTTGCCCATGGGATGAAGCAACATGCGTAGTAGCTGCTGCAGGTGGTCATTTGGAACTTTTGAAATGGGCTCGTGAGAACGGTTGCCCTTGGGATGAAGAAAACATGCAAGGGCTGCTTATGGAGGGCATTTGAACTTTTGAAATGGGCTCGTGAGAACGGTTGCCCTTGGGATGAAGAAACATGCTGGCATGCTGCTCGACATGGACATTTGGAACTTCTTAAATGGGCTCTCAGATGGTGCCCATGGAATGAAGAAACATGCAGTAGTGCTGCTCCTGGAGGTCATTTGGAACTTCTGAAATGGGCACGACAGAATGGGTGCCCATGGGATGAAGCAACTGACTTGTGGGGGCATTGAATTTGTGGGCAGAGAAGGTTGCCCTTGGGATGAAGAAACATGCTGGTATGCTGCTCGACATGGACATTTGGAACTTTAAATGGGCTCGTGGGTGCCCATGGAATGAAGAAACATGCAGCAGTGCTGCTTATGGAGGGCATTTGGAACTTTTGAAATGGGCTCGTGAGATGGTGCCCTGGATGAAGACACATGCATGGGAGCTGCTGAAGTGGTCATTTGGAACTTTTGAAATGGCTCATGAGAATGGATGCCCTTGGGATGATTACACATGCAGGGGAGCTGCTCGTGGAGGGCATTTGGAACTTCTGAAATGGGCTCATGAGAATGGATGTCCATGGCATGAATCGGCAGGTCGGATTGCTGCTGAAGGTGGACATTTGGAACTTTTGAAATGGGCTCATGAGAATGGATGCCCTTGGGATGAATACACATGCTCTGCAGCTGCTGAACGTGGGTATTTGGAAATTCTGAAATGGGCTCGACAGAATGGATGCCCATGGGATGAAGCAACATGTTTTCATTCAGCCTATGGGGGACATCTTGAAATGCTGATTTGGGCTCGTCAGCATGGATGTCCATGGGATGAAAACAGATGCTTATATTATGCTAAGCAGCGCAACCATCAAAATGTTGTGAATTGGATTGAATCTAATCTAATCAGCAGAGTGGAATTGAATATTATTATGGCTGAGTCATGCAACCATGCTACTCAGTAGAGAAAATGAATGAATAAATTGAAAACAAAACACAAACTCCTACCGGTACTGCATAGTTACAGCAACCTGTCTTTATCATTGTAAGCTACGGTACAGCAACCTGTATGTCTGCTGTGGAGCTTTTCCCTCATTTTACTGTTGCTGTTGGTGTTACTGTTGTTGTTTTCGCGGTGGGTCGACACTGTTGTTTGTGCCCACCGGACCGCCAATGGTGTATCTGACATTTGCGATTGCAGTACCACACCGCTTGGCATTGGGAACACCGCAACAGTCGACTGGATGACGACTTGCCACAAGCGCTGCAAGATGTATTGTCGTATTCTGGTTCTTGTGTTGTTGCTGCGTCTCCGAATTCCCGTTGCAAGGCTTGCAAGAGCTTGGCCTTCTTGTCGTCATTGCTGTTGTTGCTTTGTCCTCCTTGATGAAATCCTTGCAATACGGGAAGATAGCGTTGCACCATGGCCACGGCATGGGGTGGCCGTGGCTGACTTCTGATTTCAAGCAAACTGGATGCTGCTTCCCACATGGCCATGGCACGATCATAGAGGGGTTCATGCTGATGAGGTTTGCTGTTGTCATTGTCACTAGTCCTAGTGTCGCATCCGAGGCACCCGGCAGCCACACATTCAGAAGCAGCCACGGCTTGACATGCCGTCGTCACGGCCTGAATCTTCAAGGCAGTAGTAGATTGTTGTTTGGATTGCTGTGTTAGAATGGGTGCCAAGTATTCGAGTGCTGTAATGGTAATGTGATGGGTTGGGGATAGCGTTTGGGAGGCTTCCTCGGCAATGGCTTGTAGCTCTGTGGGTGGTTCCGTGCATGTCAGGTACTGTTGTAGATCGAGAGTGACGAGTCGTTCCTCGAGCGATCGTTCCAAGGATGCCGGCACGTCTGTAGTACCACAGTCCGCACAAAACCACGTGGGTTGAAATGTTTGAGGGTCGTAGATACAGGGCATGCGGATGGTGTGACAGGTGTGACATGTGACGACCCGACAATAATCGGGTCCCCGACACCGTTGGCAGTGACAAAAAAAGGATTTGGTGCGTTGCAGAAAATGTCGTCGTTTGTAAGTTGGTATTTTGTATAGATTGCGACTGATATAGCTAAATGTCCAAACATCACCCTTTTGGACGGGTGTGCGAATGATGCGATACTCCAACGCTTTGGTTTGAGATGTGTATGCCAAATTGGGATGACAGGAATGTGCCATTTTGGAGCCCATGACAAAGAGGGCGGCTGAGTTGCCCTTGGTAGTAGTGGTGGTGTTGTTGTTGTTGTTGTTGTTGTTGTTGTTGTTGTTGTGATATGTGTATTCATGAGCATTGCAGGCAAAAATGGCCAATAGCTTGTGGACAAAGTCAACATTGTACTGGTGCTTGTATTGTTCTTTCAATGATGCATGTGTACTTTTTTCAGATTCCAACTGTTGGTAGAGTCGCACGGCCGAATCTCGTTTCTTGGTTTCTTCTGTGAGAGGAGGATGGTACATATCTAGAATGGATTGCTGAGTGCTGCGACTACTGGCAGCAAACTTGACTAGAAAATCGTGGTAATTGCCATCGATGACAATGGCAGGTTCTTCTCGTAGAATGCAAGTATACAACTCCGAAAACTGTTTGGTGGCAACTGCCGTTCGTCCCTCCAAAGCTCGTTCTTCTATACCAATGCCATCTTGGTACAAGACAAAGGAATCGTCCACTTGGAGAGTCATCTTCTACCTAGCTATAGCTGGTATCTCAGTTGAGGATGAATGAATGGACTGTGAAAAAGGTCAAAGTGGTGAGAAAGGAGGAGAAATCTTCCAAAAAGATACGGAAAACTGTGCGTTCAAATCCTTAAGGCTAAGGCTAAAAAAGATTGCAGCAGTGACGTTGAGAGCCCTTCAAAGACAGCATCAAACAAACGAGGCATCGGCATCTCCTCTGTTGTTGTCTGTTGTTGCTGCTTGTTGTCAGGCAACTCACAACCCTTCTATCTAGCTAGTAGCTCTAGTACTGACTCACAGGTACTGACTTTTTGTTATTAATAATGAGCCGCGATCCGAAAGACGAGGGCATTGGTCCTTTCTACAACAATCCTTTGTTGGGTCCAGTGGTCAAGTCCTTTACGGCCCTTCCCGACGTGGCCGGTGGCGGTTGTATGGAACGCGTTGGAACCGCTGCTGCCATGGGCTTGACATTTGGTATTTTCTACAATTTGGTGTCGGTCCCGTGGCAACCCGATCCCGTCGAATACTTTCCCAAAGGTGTCATTAAAATGCGCGACAATTGGGCGTTTTTTCGATCCGGATTTGCCCGTCCCATGGCGGCCTTTTCGACCGTCGCCATGACATATGCCGGAGTCGAATGTATGATGGAATCGTTGCGAGATCCCGAACAGACCAGTCCGCATTGGAATTCGGCCGGTGGTGGTTTCGCGGCGGGTATGGTCATGGGTGCCATGACCAAATCGTTTCCCGTGGCGCTTGTGGCCGGTTTTGTCAATGGTGCCTTTATGGGAGGTCTCTCCTTTAATGGATTGCATTACATTTCCAATCCTCATCAAATGGCCATGAAAGTCGGAGGAAAATGGCCCACCCAGTTTCGCGAATCCAAAGAATTGGCTGCTCTCAAGGAAAAGTATCCCGAATATAAAGATTTGTAAGTCATTCAATTGCATATCCATTGCAATGGATGGACGATGAGGAGAAACAGCAAACTATTAAGATGGCAAGGACCGTCACCCCCCAAAAGATAGTGCGTTAAAAATTTCTACAGTAAGTAATTACATGAATGTGTGTCAGCAGCAGTCTCTGCCATTGTCTATATAGCCGAGCTCTAGGTAGCTAGCTAGATATTATCGTAGCGAGTGTCGTACCGTAGCGGTGGATGAGGGCTTGGATTTGTTGCCACAATTGGGGCGAAATAGCTTCGCACCATTCGTACCGGTACACAAGCCAAGCAGCGTACGGTACTTTGCAGTTAGTTGTTTTGTTGGCAAACTTACTCTTGCCGTGAAAGTACAGTACGGCCTCAAAGGAACGGAACAACCCAGCTCCCCTCACGATGGTGTCGTTACGGTACAGTACAGTACAGTACATAAGCGATGGAACGATACGATACGTGTTGTATTTATGTTATTGGGCTGCTCCGGACTGTATTGAGAAGATTCGGTGACGATGGGCGCCGGTTGCTAGACTAGCTACGGTAAGTATGGTACGGTAGCTAGAGTACACGCTGACAACGGGAATTGATCCGGGAAAACTTTGAAAGCACTACATAGTTTCCGGCGGATCGGGGGGCAAACTGGGGGCCAGGCTGACGGCCATAATGTTTCATTTTGGGATCTACATTAGCAGAAGTGAGGGGCCTTAACCAGGGTAATGCAGAGCGGATTCTTGATCTCGAACATCGTTTGGGAGTACGGCAGGAGCGCTGAGTTGGTTGCGTGTATCCTGACGTACCAGTTGATACCGCGGCACGTAGACTCGAGCCCTTGATCCAGCGGGAACCTCACGATCGAGCCACAGCCTTTGTGCGCATTGTCCCCACAACATTCCTGGCTCTTCGTGGCTCTGTTGCGTACGCAAGATATCTATAATTCTTTCACCACCGTATGATGCGATAACATTCACCCCCTTGTCCCCAATCTACGAGCTAGATTGCTACGAGCATGTACATCAAAACTGTTTGCTTAGCTCCCGCTAGCCTTGCAACCATAGAGGAAAAACAGCCCGAGAAAGCTCAAAGCTCCCCTCGTCTGTGGATAGACAGGTTCTTGACATCTGTCGCGTCTCCGGTCGCAATGCTGGCCACTCTGAGACCATCATGACCAGTTGGAGGAAGGTGGTGGTCCGAATCACGACTAGGCTCCGCACCATCGAAATCGCCAGCTGCAACTCTCTGCGATGAAGGAAAACTCGGAAGTTCCATGTCAACCGACTCGTTGCCCTCTTCTTCGTCAAACGAAGGTAGGAGGCTGCCCTGCCGGAAATGTGCGAATTGCTTTTGCGGAGTCGGGACGGGTGATGCGTCACGTCCATCGGGAAACAATCGTTTCACGACCCCGTCTTCTTCATGCAGTTGACCGACACTCGTCATGGTCGATGATCTTCCATAGCCACCAACACTAGTAACAGGAATGGAGTTCGTAGTACCTGTTCTTTTGCTACTCGAGCTCCGATATCCAGCTGAAATTCGAAGGTGATGATGATGCCCACCGGACCGTCGTTCTGGAGTTGACAATATAGACGAAAGTCTCCTGTTCAGAAGGGGTATACGAGGTGATGCCTCGTCAATGACTCCTTGAATCTCTTCGTCAGTTGCATCCTTGACCTCATTGGCCGTGATGAATCCCCCGTCTCCTGCTAAAGACCGAAACTTGTCCATTATCGGCACCACGTCTTCCGAGGAGATTTTGCGAAGGGAAACCAAGGATGCAATCAGGAATTCATATTGATCCACTTTCCCGTCGTGATCTTCCGGCTGGACTTCATCAATGAGATTCTTGCTGATCTCTCTTCGTGCCCAATTGTACTCTAATCTGATCTTCTCCATTTCATCTCTAAGCCCAACAAAAGCGTTCAAGGCTACCCCCACAAAGTACGTAGAGAAGATCAAGTAGACAACTTGGAACCAGTACCCATTCGTAGGCATGTCTAGGTCTCTTTTGATGATTGTCGGGTGTTGAGTTGTTTGGCATGAGGGTGACACAAGTTAGGTACATGTACATGGCTGCAGCAAAGCAAATCGAGCTCCAAAAAGTAAGTCGACTTAACCCGTAACCAATTGTTGTGGTGGTCTGCACAGCCCAGTAAACGCTAACATTCCGGAATTGTCGGTTAGAGAAGCTCTCATCACAAGCCCAACGACACTGGATTCCCTGAGCCTACCTGGTCAACCAAGTCCAATCCGTTGTCAGTGGCGGGTGTGGCGGATCATACAAGAGGAAGATACGGTTGGCAAATACCCCCACCAAGTTCAATAGCACAAATCCCCCAATTATTTCGGTGAGGCGCAGGAATTTCAGCCGCCGCAACCGCTTGTGCATTGGTTCATCCGATTTCGGGTTTCCCATAATCTTTTCGACTAGATCTTCGTGCATCTTATGCATTGGGTTCCAAGCATGGTCGGCCACCAAGGAGAAAGATCCAATCAATGTCACATTGGCAATGATCATGTAAACAATCCCGGCAAAGACATGGGCTGGCTGATCAAGGTCCACCGTCAAGTCACCATATCCAACGGTGGAGAGACTGGCGGAAGCAAAATAAAAGGCCCCAACCCATTTAGCAAAGTGGTGCCCATGATCAGGAGGGCAAATGTATTGGTCTTTGACAATGTAACAGAAGAAAATGGGAGTAAAGAGGTAGAACAGTATGACATAAATGAGAGCCACACTCGACCCATGCCGCATCCAAGGCCACCTAGATTCTGCCATCGTGTAGTATGCAATGAAGTCCATGTAGTGAAATTCCCTGATGTTGGTTTTGGCTTGGGTGATCTCCACCAGTTCCACAGCCCTGTCCAGCACTTTCAATAGTTGTTCTGTCTGGTCTCGGAATCGGCAGGACCGCAAGATGCTGAAAACCCACCTGTTCTTTTGTTTGTTATGATCCTCCCTGACTTGTTCCCTGTACTCTAGTAGGTCAGAAATGAGAATGTGTGACAATGAAGGATACCCCTTCTCTTGGGCGATTTCTCGGCAATCTTCAATGAGAGTAATCTGGACATCATGCATCACCGGAATCCGTTCTGCCCTCCTGGTTTCAATAGCCTTGGTCAGTCTTTCTGCTTCAGATTCCCCTTGGACCTTGCTGGAAGGACAAAACGTACATGTAGCAACCTTGGTGAGCGACAATCTTAGTCTGACAAATCAAAAAATAACCATGTACAGGTGCCGTCCGGGTAAGATCCAACAGCTGAGACTCGTAAGCTAGTGCAAACTCTAGCCATCATCCAAGGGTAGCCTTCATAAAATATAGAGCGCAGTTTCATTCCCATGTGCCGATGATCTGCTTGGCGGAGTACGGGCGATCCTCAGCCCTCCAACGGTCAAGCTTGGTGCATCACTTCGAGCTAGCAGAGACCAATCACCCCAATCGACAATTTCCTAGTAGATCGATTCTATATTCAATGAAACATACCTTCGAAGGGCATGCGTGGATCCCACTGATTTTTCAAGACTCCTTCTGGGTTTTTGGGTCTCCTCTTTGCGATGGGGGATACCACTGTAGATGTGCCGAATCCATGGAGAAAAAGTGGCAAAAGACTTTGGTTTAGTACAGATATCTTGAGTTTCTCGTCTGTTCTAAAGCTTCTAGAAACCTCTCATCAGCTTCTCTCTGCGACTAAGCATCAAATTTCAAGCCTTCTTACCTGAACAGGGCATGGTGGGAAAAGTATCGATCCGTGACCGTTGCTCCAGGTTTTTCTTTGTCTAGAGCATTCAGAACGTGATGATTGGAGGTATTGGTTTCGTGGGTATCATTGGTATCATTTGTGGCTTCACTGGAGTCAGCCATTTCATTGGCGTCTCGATCCGGTTTGACTTTGTACTAAGATAGAGGGAAGAAGAAAGGAAAGAGATCGGGCACACAGCAACTCGGATCCTTTGCTCTTTGCGAGTTGATGATGGCCATCGCGGACGCCGTCGGTTGGGTGGGAAGAAGAGGTGAGTGGGGTGTGTTCCAGTACCGGTAGGTGAGTTGGGTTTCATTATCTATGAGACGTGTCTCGTTAAAGCTTTCCCAAATTTTGGTACCGGTACAAAAAGAGTATGAGCGTACCAGGCACCGTATGTTTGCTGGCTGCACAGGCTCATGACAAAGCCTTGTGTATGCAGAGAGCTATGCAAAGTCATGCCAACGCTATAGATAATGCAGCTACTGAAGGGTGCGAGACACCTTCCATACTACCGGTACACCTTCAACAGAATCAGTCTGAGAGGTGCCACTTTATAATTTGGGTTCATCTCGCTTTTTCCGAGCTTCACTATTGAATTCATCTTTCAAGTGCTTGTACTGACAGTGCCCAAGAGCTTTCTCTAGCCTGACAATGTGCCTTATCCGCATTCAAGCCAAACGTTTCCATGGTGAATGCCATTGTCACGTGATAGGCTGCAAATGGTTGCTGCTGCATTAGACTACATGTATGGTACTTTATTACAGGTAAAGCACCAGTTTTGGGTGCACCGTAATCGAGGTCCGTTAAAACGGCTTGGTGTGAGGTTGGAGGGAGAAAAACGGTGGGAAATTGGGTGGCCCGAAGGGCCACGCCCCAACGTCATACTCATGACTTGGGGCACCTCTATCGCAGTCACAAGCGCCAGCATAGCCACACCTCCAACTCCAACGCACCCGCACAACAATCCATTTGCAAATTCCATCTCCCAAACTCATCGCTGAAGAGAGTCGCTTTTTTGGGAAACCCTTCGCTAGTTACTTAACGTGTCAATTTCGTCTATTCTTTTTACCACTATCTTATCGTTTTACAGCGTTCTTGGTGACGTGTAAATTCCATTCGATAATTCTATCATCGTGGAACTCAGGAATCACGAGTGTGCCCTTACACTTCGTGCGGGGTTTCGATTCCTTCATAGAAGCAGTCCATAATGTTTGGACGCCCCCATGATTCTTCATGAGTAAACTCTTAGCATGAGTTTGAGTAATGAAAGTTCCGGATGCTCCTGTATCCAGTAAGCAACAGAGTGTAACGGGTTTTTGTTTCCCTTTCTCTCGTCTGTTAAATCTAACATAGACGATAGTTTCGAGGTCTCTTGTCTTGCGACGTTGATGAGTTGATTGGCCATGGACGAAGCTAACGATGCTGAACAGATCGTCAGAATCTAGTTGAGCAGCTTCTAGGCAATTATCTAATTTGCCGTAGACTTCCTCAGTTGCAAACAATTCTTGTTTACTAGTTAGTGAGATATCTTCATCACTTAGGTATGAGAAATCGGAACATGGTTCCGTTGAATCATCATCCTGGCCTAATCCTCAGACGGAGATCTCTCCATCTGAATGATTGAAGTCGAAGTCGGCAAGAGCCTTGTCGACTGCAGCCATTTTCTTGTCCATCATGTTGAGGGACCCGACAGAGGAGTCATCCTCGTTGTCAGAGTCGTCTGACTTGCGTTTGGCAACATGGTTGCATTCGCTTTTCTTCTTGCGATCCGCCTTGACCGCAGCGTTGGAGACTTTCTTCATAAGGACAGAAAGTTCCTTCTTGGTGTAGGACTTGGCATCGTCAGACTTGCGTTTCCAAGTCTTGTTCTTGTTGTACGCTGGCTTGCTATCGTTGTCAGACGAGGACTTGGCTTTGAGTTTCTTCAGAGTCATGCAATCAGCAGTATTGTGAGTGCTGGACTCGTGGTAATCACACCACTTTTCTTCGCTCTTGGAAGAATGGTCGTTGTTGCGAGTAGACTTGTACTTCTTGCTGTTGTTCTTCTTCGAAGGAGCTTGCTTGGCATCACTGCCTTTGTCAAAGTCTTCAGCGGATTCCATGCGCTCACAGAATCCAATGAGAGCTGTCATCTCGGCAGTGAAAGGATCGAAGTCGTGTTCGTCCATCTTGCGCATCCAGGAACGAGGAATGCCATGACAGATGATGTCGATGAATTCGTCCTGGTTCAACTGTTGATTGCCACCTGCCACGTGGAAGCTCATCGGTATTCATCCGAGTGAGGTTGTTGATGTAGGCGCGAGTTGTCATCTCGCTAGGCTTACGCATCTTGCGACGCATGAAGCGTTTCTGTTTTTCGAGAGCCTTGTAAGGACAGGCTGCTTCGATAACCGCGTTGATTCCAAAGGTGATGTCAGCATCGCTTAGAGCGGGTTCCGCTGCACCGTCCCATGCGGCTTGGACACGAGCCTGGAAAGCTACTTCGGTTTCTCCAGAAGTCACATCGCGTGGAGGAACTGCGTTCACAGCAATTTGTCGTAGGGCGTTATGACGTAAGGCGCCATCGCATTACGCGATCGGTATTGAAGTTCTTACATGTAAGATTCTTGTGGTCCGTATGTACAACAATCTTCTGTCCTAGAAGAATGTTACGGAACTCTTTCAGAGTTTCTACGATACTGAGAAGTTCCTTCTCGGTAACGGTGTAGCGTGTCTGAGCAGGGTTGAGCTTCCTGCTGTAGAACGCGATAGGTTTTCCCTTCTGGGAAATTACTGCACCTAGTTGAGTATCACTCGCATCCGTGTGGATAACGAATGTATCGTTGAAGTCAGGGTAAGCGAGCAAGGTTTCTTTGCTGATGATCTTCTTCATCTGGCTAAAGGCCTTGTCGTGTTCGGCTTCCCATTTCCACTTCGTTGTTTTGGAAGTCAACGAAGCGAGTGGAGCCAGTACATGTGATCGTCTAATCCACATGTCTCGATAGTAGTTCACTAGTCCAATGAATCTACGGAGTTCTTTTCTGTTAGTAGGAGGAGCGATATTCTGGATCGCGTCTATTTTCTTGGTTATAGGTTGGATCCCTTCTCGAGTAATCCAGTAACCTAAGTATTCAAGTTCTCCTCTTGCGAAGAAGGACTTGGTAGCATTGATCTTAAGTCCGGCTTCTCGAAGCCTTCGGAGAACTTCATCCAACTTTTCAACGTGATCTGCCAGATCGCCGTTAGTTAGGATGAGTAGATCATCAATGTATGCACGGACGTATTCTAGGTCGTGCATTAGTGTTCCCATCTTCTCTTGGAAGATGTCGGGACTATTACATAGGCCCATTGGCAACCTCTGGTATTCGTACTTTCCCCACGGGAGTACGATAGTACAGAGTTGTTTCGAGTGAGGTGACAGCTCGATGTGATAGTATCCCATGTTCAGGTCTAGACTAGTGGCGTACTTGAATCCGTCTAGGTTCAAGAGCATGTCCTGTATTTTTGGGATAGGATAAGGCTTCCGCTTAATCCTTTTGTTTAGTTCCCGGAAATCAGAGATGAATCGTACAGATCCACTTTTTCACGGGAAGCCGAACACCGAAGCGCTTCCCCTCTGGATCTGTCACTACAAGAACAACAACACTAATAGCAACAAACACAACCAATCGGTCATACCTATACCATTACACTACCTATTAGCACCATTAGAAGCATTGAAACGAAGCGAAAGGACCTCAGGAAGCCTGTTTTCTGTTATCTTGTTGAAGAGTACTGTTTTACTATAGGATTCAACTCAACCTCATCACGGAAAACATACACCCCTTTTTCCTCTCTTTATCTCTCACTCAAGCCCTCCGATTGACAGGATCGACACCTCCTCTGGTATCTCCTATCAAGCGCACCTCTCCTATCAAGCGACTATCAAAGCGGCCTTCCCCGGTTCAGATTAGAAAGCCATCCCAATTGAAATCCTACGAGATCGGGCAGGTTTTCTATTCTCGACCGCCGACGGCCAAGTTGGAAGAATTTGACCACAAGAAGACGTCTCCGGTCTTCCCCAGCACAGTACAGAAAACAATTCCCATACGTATTTGTTGTTTTCTGAACTAAGCGCCTGACGACCGACGAAATCCCATTGTCGGCCGATCCTCTTCTTCGAACGATCGATCCTCCTCCTCCACCAACAACAATAGGCTCGGTTAACCTTACCCCTAAGGCAACCGGTGACGTTGATTCGAATCGAATCCTCTGAATCGAATCAAACTTCCGAATCGATCCCAGACTCGCTAATCCGTGAATCGATCGAATCTTCCCGCGAACGTACCTCTTCCTCGGATCGAACTTCAGCCTCTACGTACCTCTTCCTCGGATCGAACTTCAGCCTCTACTATCATCAAGAAGGACTTCACGAGATACCTGCAGTGACCACCGAGAAGAGAATTAAACCTGTATTCTTACTTTCTCACCGGCCACTAGTGGTTTCTCCCGAAACCCTTGTTGGAACTGATACTTCCTGCTACCGTTACCACCCATTGATATCTAACTCCTCTCCAAGAGGAACAACAAACAACAACAGAGTTCCTGTAAGGATTTGAGTTCTTGTATCTCCAGGCTTGGCTGCATTTATTCGAGTTTTCACAGCCCCTCCCTGAGATACCCAGCTCCCCTCCAAAGGATCTCACCCCCACAAGAACAAACTACAAAAGCTGCCTCTCTAGTGATTTTAGATTGTGCAACACTTCATTGACACAGCCACCTCTCTGCTACTGCACCTGCCTCTCCTACTGAGTGTGGTGCTCCAAAGGATTGATACCCAGGCAGAACTGCAGCGTGGTGTGGCATAGATATTAATACATAACTGACTCTTTCTCTCTCTCATTGATTGTTGAGTGACTCTCCAGTGACTTTCCACAGTTCCACCTGAATCGAGTACCCTCTCCACATCTTGACTTGACTCTCTGTTACAAGGTGGCCCTTGCAACAGATTGAGTACCAGCCTTTGAGACAACACAGTGTCATCCAGTAATACAGCCCCATCAACCAACAACACCCCTTGATCCCCCCCACTGCCTCTACTGGCTATAGCGTGACTTCTCCAGTTCTCCCTGAAAGAATCCCTAACAGCCTTTGGCTCTGATACCATCTTCTCCTGCAGGTAGTGGTATACCTGCATCAGACTTGGCCACAGCCTTTGATCCAGTGGCAACAACAACCCCACAACTTGATATAAACCTTGATTACCAGTGCCTCAGTGCATTGCCCCTTGAATAAACCCCTTTACATCAATCCTCTCGCCACCTCACAAGCAACCTCCATTGCTTGAGTTGAAGCAACGACACTATAGTCAACACTCC